AGATAGATAGATAGATAGATACTGGGATAGATAGATAGATAGATATGAGTAGACTGGGATAGATAGATAGATAGATATATATGAGTAGACTGGGATAGATAGATAGATAGATAGATAGATAGATAGATAGATAGATAGATATGAGTAGACTGGGATAGATAGATATAGATAGATAGATAGATAGATAGATAGATAGATAGATCATTATTATAAGTTATTCTTTCGTATGATTATTTCGTTTTAAACATGACATTTTGTTTTATGCATGCACTAACGTCATACGACATCAGAAAGCACATTTTACAGAATACTGAAAGTGCTAAAACAACGTACATATCTGAAGAAATCGTATACAAGGCTTTATTCAGATATTATCAATGTAGGACATTATGGTCTTTTGTATAGACGCAAATGATTAATTGTAAATGATATTTTTTATCAAGTAAAATAAAGACTGTTTATTATCATTATTGCTGTTATTATGATTAATACTGATTTTGTGACTATTATTATTATTATTATTATTATTATTATTATTATTAAGATTATAACAGTGTCGTGAATGTGTTTTTAACATGTTAATGTTATTTGTTAACCGATACTTTTTTTAAACATACTAAATATTAATTGTTACTTCCAGTGAAATAATATTATTGTTATCCTCTTTATTATTATTATTATTATTATTATTATTATTATTATTATTATTATTATTATTATTTCTTTGGTTTCTGTTGTACCCTTCTGGTTCTAACCAGTGACCTCTGGTCAGATGGACATGACATTCTCCACTGATCATGTTTGTAAAATAAAAACAAAAATATCCTCTAATATCACACACGTTTTACATAGATAAAGCTCTTCGTAATGTGAGAACTGTACGTGTGAGTACATTTTCTTCTCTTTATTTAAGACATTGGTTACCCGGAATGCATTCAATTAATCTCACGGAACCTTTTCCAATTAATCCAAGGGCAGCAAATTCAACTGGAATTATTGATGTCCTTATGAGACACAGTTTTTAGATTTCTATTTCAAGATATTCTTCTATTTTGATAGTTTTGAATATCGTCAAAGGTTCATTAAAATTATTATTATTATTATTATTATTATTATTATTGTTGTTGTTGTTGTTGTTTATATCGCTTGAAAAATACGAGGCTGTATTTTAACATACTTTATTCTATATATATTTTTTCAGTAAATATTATTATTGTTGCTAGCGTTATTACGTTTATTATTATTATTATTATTATTATTTATGTGAGACTGTATGATAAACATATGTAAAGTTATATATTGTTTCAAATAAAATAGTATTATTATTATTATTACTATTATTATTATTAATAATATTAATATTATTAGTTCTTTTAATTTCTGTTGTACAAACATATAATTCCGGGCCCCAAACAGAGGCGTAAGTTCAGAAATGGTTTCATGACATTTTCCACAGATGATTTTTGTAAAACAAAAACAAAGATTACGCTCAATTTACATAGATAAATCTCCCATCGTAACGTGTGAACTGTACTTGTGAGTACAATGTTTTTGTATTTCTTTATGACATTGGCTACCAGGAATCTCTTCAAGGCGGACCTTTGATTATTATTATTATTATTATTATTATTATTATTATTATAAAGAATTGATGGAAAGTGACACTGTTAAACCTATTAACGTTAATTGTTCGTTCTAGTAAAATAAAAACTTGTTTCCTCACCGCATATGCGCTAAATGAAGCATGTTCACTTTCTTTTGAACCAGAATGAAAATGGATTAAGTTTTAGACATCCTATAAACCGTGCCAATTTCTTTAAAGAGATGGCAATTCGCCTTGTTTCATTCAACCGGGATTCAGACAATATTATCCATTCCCCGATTTCACAAGAGAAATCTGAAATGCATCTGTCCAGTTTTAGTGACCGAACGTTAGAATCGACCATTTATTAAAGCTAGTCACCGTTGGGACGTGTCCTCTCCGCTGGACGGACATAAAGAATTAAGAAGTTTTTCTGGGTATTCGTGGAAGTGAGAAAGGGTGGATTTCTGTCTCATATGAAGACACTAAATAAGTTTTTAAAATGTCCATTAAGAGTTTAGGTGTGTAGTAATCTAACTACATAGAACAGCTTTTGATGATTTGTTGCTAACAGCTTTTCGGTCTGTTATTAAAATTTATTGCTGTATGTTTAGGGTAAGTGTTAAAACAACCATTTATAAAAATCAAGAGAAAGAAAATAACTTACACGGTGACTAAATGTTTTCGAATGACTACTGATTGATTTATTTGTCTCTTTAAGGGCATACCAACTCCCTAAGTGTCATTTAATTCCAAATTTAACTTTCTTGAGAGCTTTGAATTAACAAAAAATATTATATCTTATTCTGCTTTTACATTTGATTACATTGTTTGGTTGATGTTGTTTAGCGACATACAAACGTCTATATGGAAATCTAAGTAATTTGAACGCAAATTTATGCCTTCAAATACAGATAA